GGGCGGGTCTGATTCTGGGCAGGAGACGGCCGGGCATCTTTATGGGTGATGCCTTGTTCCAGAGGGATTTGCAGATGGGTTCACCACACATGTACATGCCCGAGGGCGACGGATTAAACAGCAGGAGTCCTAGGCCAACGGTGACTGGTATCCGAAGAAATCGATACACGTAATAATTCTGTATCATCATTGAAGATCACGTTTCCTCTGCTCAGCGCTGTCGGTTGGGTTTTGGAGGTTTATCAGGTGAATTCAAATGATGACAACACATAGACATCATAACCTCTCACTTATTTACGTCGTTCTAGCACATCATGAGAGGGAGAGTGCTATTTTGTATGTCTGCACTGTCTCTCATACATGATATACTATGTAATGTCATATTATAGATGTACAAACACACAAATTTTTGAGTGAGTCTAACCATGCAAATAATTCAGATGTTTAAAGTGTAATCCAGAAAGCAAAGTACATGGGGACATTGGAGAATAATGAGAATTTTGATGGCCCCAATAGTTAATGAATACAGTATGGAATGCCGTCTTCACACAAGCCATCTATCCCTCCAGAGAACCCAAAGGCCAAGATCCTGCTGCTTTGCTCTCTTGCTCAATGTGTTTAGGGACAAAGACACATAGTTTCTAAAGTTTGTGTTTGTCTTCTTTTTTTTTTTTGATTGTTTATGTAGTACTCAGGGATCGAACCCAGGGCCTCATGCATATTAGGCAAGCACTCTACCACTGAGCTACATTCCCAGCCCATGGTTCATCTTCTTTTCCTTTGCTAAACTTTTGATTTTGTTGTTGTTGTGTTATTGTTGTTGTAGTTGTTGTTTGGGCAGGCCTGGGGCTTGAACTCAGGGCCTGGGAACTGTCCCTGAGCTTCTTTTGCTAAAGGCTAGCACTCTTCCATTTGAATCACAGCACCACTTCTAGTCTTTTCTGTGTATGTGGTACTGAGGAATAGAACCCAAGGCTTCAAACATGCTAGGCGAGCACTCTACCACTAAGCTACATTCTCAGCCCTAAAATCAAACTTTTATGGTTGATTTGGGCTCTATTTGACCAAAAACCACACATGGTCAGTTTTCATGATTTGCATTCTTCTCCGGACTTGAAGAGGACTCCGTTTCATCAACACAGAATATTTTATACATTCAGTCAAGGAACAAGCTGTCTCCATTTTGGTAATAAGTCTCTGTGCATTTGCATTGTAACAGCCTCTACCAAGTTCCTCGTGCTATTAAAACCCAACTTTCATTCACTTTCTTAGGATAGCCATCATTAGCTCATTCAGCAGATATTACTGATTTAAAATTTTGCCCAAATACTGGAGTGATCACAAAACTTTGCAATAACTCATTCATTTGTAGTTTGCGCTCATCACCAGTAAGCATATATTAGGTCCCTGCTTAAAACAAACATGGCATTAAGCATTATTGGGAATAAAAGCATTCTACCTTCAACATTTCCATGAAGAACAGAACTCTCATAGTGTAGACCTTCCCTCCGCATCTCTCTCCTTGTTCTCTCCTTCTATGTATATGTATTTAATAAATGCACATCTGCACACTAATTTTTAGTATTTTATAATCCTTATTGCTAGCTTACATATCTGTTGTAATGGGGAAGATACAATATCCGTCCACTCTTAGCTAAACGTGCTTTATTTTCTGTGGCAAAACTCACTGACCAAGGTTTTCCCCTCTCTCAATGCTTTTCCGGGAAGCAGCTAATTCTTGAGATGCAGGCGGGGAGCAGGGAGGGGGTAGCTGGGTGGGTGGGCAGGTGGGGGGAGGGGTGGGAAGATGGCGTTTGGAGCTCTCCCGTGTCACTTTAGGACTGTGGGAAGCGTGGAGTCATACATGTTGCCTGTCCACGCGTGACTTGGCTTCCATCTTCCCGCTCTCTTCTTCTCATTCTTCCATAGCCAATGGAACCACAGCACCACCATTCTAGTTGGAAAAAAAAGCTAAACGAATTCTTCCCGGCATCCATGTCTTAGAATCCTTCCTAAGCCATACTTACTGCCTCGTCCCTCATTTTCCATTCCACCCATCCCTGGACCGCCTTTGAAAACAGCTTGCAAAGGAGCAGAGACTCAGTTCGCCAGTTAGAGGCCTCCAAGCAGCCGCGTCTTCCAGCACAGCGCATCTCACTTCCTCCCTGACCACGGTCGTGGAAGCAGCCTGCTTCCAGGCGGCAGGACAGAGTCCCATGCTGGCCTCACACAAGCAACTGTGTGGAGGGCCGGCGGCTCACACTTGCACAGCGGCAGAGTCTGACCACCGAGCCCGAGAGGACTAAAATCCACTTGAATGGTATTTGTTCTCTTCCTTCTCCCTTCCCTGAACCTGGGGCCTGGCCAGGGGGAAGCCAGATCTCTGTCGTTAAAGGTGTGTGTGGATTAAATTCAGCTGCACGGCCATCTCCTGAATTAGCTGACATAAGATGGACTGCTCAGTACGCAGCAAATGCTAAATGAATGTTAATACAATTAGTACAATAATTTAGCTAAGCAACAAAACAAATAAAGCCGCAGAGGATTAGTCACTTACCTAGAATTTCAAAGCGACCTTTCCTAGTGATTTAACATAGGTAAGAAGGGTTACAGCCTAATTTGTCCTTAGCAGAGGCCTTGCAACACTGTGCTAAATGTATATGTGACTGTTTGTTTCTGATGTCATCTTCTTACTCCTTTAAGCAGCATCCATGGGAATGCCAAGAAGCCAAATATCCTGCCACATGATAAAATCAGAGGTCTCATGCGATATGAATTGTGAAGAAAAGTATAAACGAAGCTGGGCTCAGGGAGCTCACATCTGTAAAAGGTCGTGGTTCAAGACACGCCAGGGCAGAGAAAGTTCCTAAGTCCCTCTGCAACCTGTTGCTGGGTACAGTTGTGCCTGCTTCTCACCCAAGCCTCCCGGGGAGGCTGGGAACAGGAGGCTCAAGCTCCAGGCCTATCAGACAGAAAAGCCCACCAAACAGTCCCTCTGGAAGAAGCCAGCCTTGCTGGGTGCCCTGGGCTCCCACCCCAACACTGTCACACAAAAAGAATTATAAACAAGGGCTAAATAAACACCAAAAAGACCGCGCATGGCATTATCTCTAACGATGATACCTTGATAAGAATACATCTTACTTCCTTTGCTCAACTACACCTTGGTTGGAAACATGTCCAGTGCACTCACCTCCCCAATATAAAATACCGTGAAGAGAAAGCTAATACCTGGTGGACTCAGAAACAGAATCTTAGACATGGGAGGGGTTCACATCTCTGCTGACATTTTGCCTGTTTTCTGTAGGAACCCAGTGGGCTATGGAAAACAGAGATCTATGTCTTATAGGTCTTGTGGAAGAGAATGCAGTCCCTTGAACTTAGTAAACTATCACCTCACAATTTGCCCTTACCGAGGAGAATTTCTCTGGAGAATAATTTTGTTACAAATACTCTGTGAAGCCATCCCGCTGTGACGTCTCCAGTCATGAGGTTCTCAGAAGGCTGAGATCTGCTGATCCCGCTTCAAAGCCAGCCCAGGCAGAAGAGCTCATGAGAGTCTCCTCTCCAATTAACCTGCACAACACGGAAGTGGAGCTGTTTTCTGAGGGCTGACTGAAAATAAATACAACTGCACATGCCACTGAGTGGAAAGCGGGAAACAACGCGGCAATGTTACTCAAGGAAGACTCTGACGGGACAAACCTTGGGAAAACAGTGTCCCTTGGCTCTCCTCCTGTCCCTGTCCTGTGAACGAGCCCACCGTGCATTTTCCTCTGATGGCTACATTTTCTTCTTCCTTGCCTGGATCCCTTGTTGGAGAAGATGCGCAAGAAGCATTTCCGAGCAGCAGACGCAAAGCCCTCCACCCCCACGGCCGAGGAGCCTCAGCCCCCGGGATCCGATTGCGTCTGCCCTGCAGGATGGGGTATGCCGCAGGGAAGGGCTTCAGAGGCGATCCCGGCCCCGTGGTCAGAGCCTGCCGCACCTGCACCATGTCTGCAGACATTGCCCACATCAAGCGCCAAAACCCACTCCATCTATGTCTGTTCTCGCTGAGCGAGACCCACGGGCTCATAAACGGACACGTTGAACGAAACCCTTTGTACAACTACTTACTGATAAGAATCACAGAAAAATAAAGACCACCTGAGAGCCCAATACATTAATTGTCATAGGGGCTGCTCCCAGAAGAACCTGGAATGAGAGGAAAACTACACGATTTCTTTTCAAAATACAGTTTCACAGGTAATTTTAGTAAACTTCACCCGATGTGCAGGGCTTCCAAAATTGGGAGTGTGCCCGCACCACGACTGCTTTCGTTAGCTTCTCTCCTTTCCTTTTCCTCGTCTCCTCCTCCTGAACCACTGCACAGTACTCTGATCTCCAGTGGCCAGATTACAAATTAGGGTTAGGCAAAGGAAATGAAATGAAACGTTAGTTTATTTGGGAGAAACAGCAAATCACCTTTCTGCTTCTTTCAGCAATTCTGGGTGATACGGTTCACGCCTGTAATCCCAGATATTCAAGAGACTGGAAAGATCACAGTTCAAGGCCAGCCTAGGCAAAAGTTTTGGAGATCCCTCGCTCTTAACCAATAGAAAGCTGTGTGATGGTGTCTGCCTGTCATCCAACTCTGCAAGAAGTAAGCGGCCTGTGTGGAAAGTAGCAGAAAGCAAACAAGCAAAGGCGGGTGCACAGGGGCCACAGGGTGTGGCTCAAGTGGCCGAAGGAGGGCGGGGCGCAAGTGTGAGGCTGTGAGCTCACACTACCAGTTAGCAGCGCGCCAGGGAAATGAAGGGTGAGCTGGACTGAGCCGGCCCAGAGGGGCCCTGGCGGGCGCCCAGCCCATTTCCATCCCCAGCAGCCCCGGCGGCCCTGGGAAGGCCGCAGCATCTCGGGAAGAGAGCGCACCAGCTTCCCGCACACCTGCCACGCTCTCCACGGACAGCAAGGCAGACGGGACACTTTCGTGAGAAAATCACCCACGACCCAGGAGCTTCAAAGGCATCAGCCCCCTCCGCTGCCTTTTATTCGTGTTCTCACAAACTCAGAAGTGGAAGGGAAGCCCAAGAATCAAACCTGGGCAAAACATGAAGACGGACGCTGTCCACGCACCCCGGGACACGGCGTGGCTGAAGCCGCTGTGAGACCTGCCCAGGTGCTCGGCCCGCGGACCCGGACGGCGGACCTGGACGGCGGACCCGGACGGCTACGGCTCCTGGTCGGAACGTGCCAGTTGACCCCACGCGGCAATGATGAGCTTCTCAATATCAGACTCATTGACTCCGCGGAGAATCCTAAAATAGCCATTCTCTCCCCAAGACTTTCCCCAGGAATTGGCAGCGATCTGCAAGAAAAACAAAAAGTACAAGTGCTGAGGATCACACGTTGAATTTTATTTTTACTCCTGCCCATAAAAATCCAGGAAACTCATAGACAGCTTTAGCTGACTTTTACTTATTATAGGCTCTATTATTTAAAAGCCTAAGTATTTTCTAAATAAACAACTTACGTTCCATTAATACACGAAGCGTGGAGACCTTGGCAATAGCCCATACTGTGAGCTAACCGTGAGTGTTTGAAATGCTGAGCCAGAGATGCTCACAAGCTAGAGCTGCAGACGTCGGCTACACAGCCAGCCTGCTCTAGGTACAGGAAGACCAACAGCTATCTGTGGGAGATGGCCAACATCAGCCATGTGTCAAGGTGGAAATGTAAGCTTCCGGAAGGGTGAGGTCCCTAGAGCTGTATCTCACTTGTCTGGATGGCTCAGGAAGATGTGGAAGAACTTCCACAGGGCAATTGTGTGTTTTCATTACATTGTTCTTGTGGGTGGGATAGCTTGACTTAAGGGGTCAAAACCAGAGGCAGGAGACCAGCAGACAGTTTGTTGGGTTAAGTTTGCTTTTAGATGTTTGTTGTGTGCTGGTGCTAGGGTTTGAACTCAGGGCCTGAGCGCTGTCCCTGAGCTTTTCCACTCAAGGCTGTCGCTCTACCACTTGAGCTCCATGTGCGGCTTGTTGGTGGCTAACTGGAGATACGAGTTTCCTGGACGTTCCTTTCCTGAGCCGGCTCTGAACCTCAGTCCACAAGCCTCCAACTGGTTTCACACTTTGGACCAGGGTCTCGCCCGCAGCCCACCCTGGTCCAGAGAGTAGATTCTCCCGCCCCCACTTCCCAAGTTCTAGGGCTACAGACACGTGCCCCTGTGCTTGGCTATTTGGAGGGTCACCCACCCAGGTCCAGGAAGGAATACTCGATAGATCTTCAGAAAGCAAGAGCCACAGAAGTAGACTTTCTCCTCTTGTTCTTTTTAAACAGTAAGGATGATTGGAATTGGGATGGGTCCAGAAGAACACATGGATCTCATGCGTGAGTAAGTTCATAGCGACTGCGATCTTAATGGAGCAAGGAGAGGGAGACTCGGGGCAGCTGGAGGGGCGGGGGGAGGGCAGGCCGGTGACCACGGCGAGGTGGAGTGGGCAAGCCCGGAAACGAGACGCTTCGCAGCCGCAGCCGCAGCCGCCACGCTCGGCTGTGGCCCTGTCCGGGGTCCTCCCGCGAGCCAGGCTGACCCTCAGGCTTCAGAGCTGTGCTCACGGCCGCTGGAGGAGCAGCTATTTACCACCCGCAGGTTCTTCACCTCCTCGGCCAGCCCTGGCACCCTAAAGACCAACCTCAAAGATGTGTGTCATCGTGAATTCCACTTACATCAAAGACAAACGGGGCGTGGCACGGCTGGAAATGAGTGCACACACAGGTGTGTACGAGTCAGCACCGGCGATCTGAACTCGGCTTTCCATATCATGTCAGGCCCATTACATCCATACGCTAGGTTACACGTGTGTATAGTCTCCAACCACATAGATGTGTAATGCGCATGTTTGTGCACACACACAACCACACGTGTGTATGTATGTGTATATGTATGTGTGTGTGCATGACACATATGTACATGCACACAAGGCTACAAAGTCAAATAATGTTAGTCACAAACTCACTTTTTTTTCCTGTCAGTCATGGGTCTTGAACTCTGGGTCTGGGCGCTGTCCCTCAGCTCTTCAGCTCAAAGCTAGCACTCTACCACTTGAGCCACAGTGCCACTTCCGGCTTTTTCTGCTTATGTGGTGCTGAGGAATCGAACCCAGGGCCTCATGTAGGCAAGGCAAGCGCTCTACCACTGAGCCACCTTCCCAGCCCACAAGCTCACTTTTAAAAGGCCTAATACTTTAAAATTCACAGTGCTATGATACATAGCCCTGTACCCACCCTCATTTGCATAGCTGAAGATTGTTCACACTCCTAATTTCATCATTAGATCTTTGGTGAACCTGAGAAGTGTCTGTGAGAGTTTTCTTCAAGCAAGTGCAAATTTCCATGCTAATGAGAACCACGCAGAGGTGGAGAAGAAAGGCGATGTAATTAGAGAAGGCGGGTCTCTCTGTAAATTAGCCAGGACCCCTGCAAAGCGGCTCCTGTTTTGTAATTCACCTTATCCTCCCTCCTCTTCTGTCCTCACCCACTCTGCTGCTTTTAAATGTCTACATTGGCTTGCACTTAATTACAAAACCTTTTGCTCTGAGTCCTTGGGCTCTGTGCTTTCAGTGTCCAAGTTAGCGCATCTATTCATGGGTTGGTGAAGTTTATGCCACGTAATCTCCACCTAAACCAAGACGTGAGCCACGCATAGAGCCCATCCACGCACAGATCGCCTGCCCACCTCCCGACGGGAGACAGCTGCGTGGAATGACAATACACCCGGAAGCCTGGCTGGGTACGCTTTCTTATTTCTTAGAGTTGGTGGGATTTTCGCCGTGCACAATCATATTCCCGCGGACACAGTCGCGGCATTTCTTATCCGATGGTCCCCCTTTCCCATTCCCGCCGTGCCCTGCCCGTGGCTCTCCACACGCTGCTCACCAGGCAGCTAGTGCTCTCCTTGCCCGGGAGGAAGGCAGCCTGGGCTGTAAGGACGCGGTTTGCTGTGCGGATCTGCAGGACAGACTTCGTAAGGAAATGGAGGCCCTGGAGCGTTTCTCCTTCACTGAGATTTCAGGTCGTGAGTGGTGAACGGGTTCGGGGGTGGAAGCATTTCAAGATCCACCCTCACCCCCCCACACACACCCGGATTCCAGTCCCTGAGCAAGCATGCGGCCTGGCCTGTGCAATTTCCCACCCCCTGGAGGTAGACAGGATGGAATCAGAACACAGCACGGCCTGGCCAGGATCCTGGGTGTCACCCAGTGAGACGAACAGCACGCTGCTCTTCACCACGCTTGACTCAGGATTGGAGGCCTTGGGGCACGTTTATTGTAACACAGGACAGTGCTGTCAGGCTGTCTGTACATATCTAGACATCTTCAGAAGAGTGTGGGAAAAGAAGCTTATCGGGTTTCTTGGAGGTTTGCAGAGTCCTAAACTCTTCAAAAAACGCACAGAATGCAGAGATAAGGAATACGTGCTTTCACTTCTTCTAGAAATAATTGCTCTTTGCCCACCCCGGGAGGTGACCCTACATACAGCCCTTTTTCCAGCTAAAGAATCTGAGCTGAAGGGACACTGCAACTTTTCTTATCCACCCTAGAGAGCTAAGCGTTAGAGTGCACGCCAGGCCCTGAATGAAGCCCCAAGGAGCAGAAGCCCTGGGACGCTCTCTTCCCCGTACCCCCCATTCCCAGGAGGCCTCACCCCAGAAGCCCTGGGACGCTCTTTTCCCCGTACCCACCGTTCCCGGGGGACCTCACCCCAGAAGCCCTGGGATGCTCTCTTCCCCATACCGCCCATTTCCGGGGGGGGGGGGCCTCACCTTTGCAAGGCAAGTCAATACTCCCCAAGTCTAACACACAAGCCTGAGGCGGCTCAGCCCATCCAAGTGAACTCATGGGGCTTGTGTCTGTGGTTTGTTTCAGTTTGACTTCTCTTTCCTTTCACTCTGCGAAAAAGATACACCGTTTGCTTGTGCACTAGAGGGAAAGTACCGCTGCCTGGCCCTCTGTTATGCCAATGTCATGGGCATGTCTGGTTACCTGTGTGGGAGACTCACGCTGACTCCAATCATGTGCAAGACACAGGCTAAGACTGCCCTGGGAGTCTCGGCCTCTCCATCCGGTTTGGATCTCAGGGCTTTGTTTCTGGCTCAGGTGTTGTGTGTGTGTGTGTGTGTGTGTAGGGGTGGGCTGCATCCATGTATGCACACGCATCCACATGGATGGACTGTTGTACAAGGCCAGGCTGGAAACGATCAGACGAGCCAGGGAGACTTACAGAACATTTCTCTGCACATCCATTCATCCCCTCCCCACAAACAGCCACTGTGAGCTCCACACAGCAAAGACCTTAGCTGGTCCTTAAGTATTACCCAGTAACGAAACAATGTCCTTCAAATTCATTTTTTAGAAAGGACAACTTAATTGTAGGCATTCTAATAACTCACACTCTCTTCCATTCTTTAATTAGTGAAAACTGTTGTTTTGTTGATTTGAAGTTTATTTTGATGAAGGAAATATTTTTAAAAGCTCCATCAAAATGTAAATATCCTTCTATTAAAAAAAAACTCCATTGGGGCTGGTGGGCTGGCTCAGTGGTAGAGCGCTTGCCTTGCATGCATGAGGCCCTGGGTTCGATTCCTCAGCACCACATAAGCAGAAAAAAGCCAGAAGTGGCACTGTGGCTCAAGTGGTAGAGCACTAGCCTTGAGCTGAAGAGCTGAGGGACAGCGCCCAGGCCCAGAGCTCAGGCCCCACAACCGACAAAAAAATAAATAAATAAATAAAAAATCAACTATCAATCAGAAAAACATCAGTTGTGGCCACGTTAGTGACTGGCTTGGGGCGCTGTCAAGTGTCTGCCGGTGTGGTGAGGAAGCTTGCAAGCTGTGTCTCACCCACCGCTGTGACATCAAACTCACGTTACAGGCTACGTATCTCTGCCTAGACTTCAGACTATTTGTGAAGAAAGACGAATGCATAACGACTTGGAGACAATTGACACAACTCACAATTAACTGGATATTTACAATGATACACTCCAATCTGCTTCAAAGTGTCTCTTACCTATAGCATCATGCAATATTTAAGATGAGATGTTCTTTCTCCATAAAGATGTGTATTTTAATGATACAAGGACCATTTAGCTTTTAAGATATATATATGTATACATTATGCTATAGATAAGATACAACATTAATGTCACAGCCATCACACATTTGTTGATATATATAGAGGGGGGAGGAAAGTATAAGATTTACTTGAATATAGATGTCAAGACAGTCCTGTTGATGCTCAATCAATATGGAAAAAATAAAAACTGTTCATCTCTTACAATCTAAAATCATTCTTCCCTTACACG